GAAAATTGGGGGCAGTAATATCAGGATTTTAAAAGACATTCCATTTGATATAAGACAGAAGAGAAAGAACTATAAAGAATTAATCCTTTTCTTACAAACAAATGGCATCAGTTACAGGTGGTTAACCCCAGAAGGCGTCATTTTCAAGATTAACGATAAAAAAGAAAAGATTGACTCTGTTTTTAAAGCATGTGAATTTCTGCAGACACAGCTTGAGGAACCAGAAGAGGGCAAAGAAGAGGAAAAAGAAAGCAAATCTGATGGCGAGTTGGGCTCGGGGTCTTCAAACGAGGACTCCCCCTCTGAAAAGGGGGCAGCTGCCCCCAAAAGCCCTTATAAACTCAGGATTAGAAAAGATAAGAATAAATAAGGGCTGAAGGACTCTGATTTGTACCTGAAAAAATGTTGAAATAACTTGGGGATGCTCTGGGAATTTCTTTAAACAGTTAAAGGGATGGTTAAACGATAATTAATCTAGCATAACCGACTAAATTCATTGTATTAGTAGCTTTTTGAAAATAGCATGGTGTTAAGATGATGTATGATCGCCTACTCTTGGGTTTTTAGTTAGTTGTGGGTCTTTTTTCTTTACTCACTAGATCCCTTTCCTATATTTTCTGTTGTAGTTTTGTAGTCTGAAAAAAAAACCCCCAGTAAAAACCTCCCCCCAGGGGGATGAAAAGAAAAAAAAGATAGCACCAGTTCACATAGTGCAAGGTTCTTGGGTTGGGTCTGGGTTTCTCCAGCCTGTGTAACAGTCAGATGTAAGTGGCAGGTCCTCTTCAATTCCCGTGCACATGGCACTTGGTTTGGCTTTGGATCATGGAAGTTACAGAGAAGGGGTTTCAGCTGTCCACAGCTGTACTGTTTTTCAGACCTGAAATTGTCCTACATAATGTGGGGGATGTGTGTGTATGGGGGTGCTGCTTGGCCTACTGGGGAGGTCCACATTCCTTTGGCTAGACATGGCTTTCCACAGTGGGCCAAATAGCTTCCCTGCCTGGTCATTTCAGGTCAGGAGAATGGCATGGGGAAATGCTGAAGCCCGTAGTCCCTGTCCAAATTGGGCACTCTGCACATGGAAAGTGAGGAAAACCGACCGTTGTTGCCTGACTATCGGACAGGGTGGGGAGGGACCCAATCCAGTATTCTTCAGCGAGTGAACTGGCCCTTTGTATAAAGGGAATGAGAGGCAAAGAAGAAATGGGCAGTGCTGTAAAGTGGTTAGAGTGTCTGACTAGGCATGGGGAGACCTGGGCTTGAATTCTCCACTTAGTCATGAAGCCTAGTGATAGGAGATCTTGGGCGAGTCACTCTCTCTGAGCCCAGCCTGCCTCGCAGCGTTGTTCAGAATATAACAGGGAAAGGAGCAAAACCACACACACCACTCTGAGCTCCTCCAGGCGAATGGCAGGATAGACGTGTGATGTATAGGTAGATAGGAGCCTGGCAGGTAGTCTGGAGGCCAAGGGTGAAACAGCAGAGGTCTAAACCAGACCCATCTGGCCTGCTTTGCAGGTATCTGTCACCAGTGGGAGGCCTATACATCCCCAAGGGATCTCGGATTTAGTGTAGGCCCCTTTGGTACTTCCAGTGATGAACTGATCAGATGTCACTCGTATTTCCCATGGCCACATGTACATTTCTTATTCCTTCTTCCAGGGAGCTCAGGAGAGCATACGTTGTCCTCTCTTCTCCTCCTGTTTATCCTCGCAACAACCTTTGTGAGGTCATTCAGTCAGAGAGCAAACATGACTGGCCCAAGGTCACCCAGTGAGTTTTTTGGCTAGCAGAGAACTAAACCTGCGATTCCCCAGGTCCTAGTCCAACATTATGATCCACTGCCTTGTACTTTCTCTCTTTTTTTTGGTGAACTTTGCTTTTTATGCTCTACTTCTTTTAAAAAGGAGCTCAACCAAAAGTGTTTTGCAGATAACATTCTAGGGTTGCCAACAACTTGCAAGATTGAGGGTGGAACCCAGGGAGAGAGTTAAATGGGGATGCGATGCTATACAATCCAGCCTCCTAAACGGCCGTTTCCTCCATGGGAACTGTCCTCCACAGTGCGGAGATCAGTTATAATTCTGGGAGAAGTGCAGGCCCCTCCTGGAGGTTGGTAACCATACAAATGGCTTGCAAGAGTAAGGGAGCAAAGGCATGGCTGTAGTTTACAAAAATCACATCAGTTATTCAAATAGCTAGAAGACACATGTGTCTTGAACTTCATCAACTGAATAAGAAGAAATCTCTTTCCAAGCGTCTGTACCGCTTTTTAAAAAACTCAGGAATGTGTGAAATGTATAACGTGAAGATCAAAGGTGCTTCAGACAAGAAAAAAGGTGTTGTGTGTTTAGCAAGTTTAGAGCTAAATTAAAATGTTGTTAAAGGAAACAGGGGCCCTGGGGTTTTACAAGGAAATGAAGGCTAAAAATAATCTACTTTTCCCTCTTGAGTGGCATCCCGTGCAATCCTCAATGGAGTCACAGCCTTCTTGGTCCATTAAAGTCAATAGGTTTAGAAAGGTGTAACTCTGTTTAGGATTGCGTTGCCTAATTTTGATTTATCAGCTTGCAAGATGTTTATAATTGTGGGAGATTTTCCTGTGCCAGAAAAAGCGCAAACAGCACAGGTCTGGTCTTCCATCTGCAGTCCGATGTTGCGTGCTCCGCTCCTCTGCTTCACCTCCGCCTCACTTCCCGGCATGTGTGAATTGGGTCTGAGTAGTTCTGGCAGTTGCAACTTCGCACAACTGACCCGCCATGCCGTAGTGGCAGTGTCATCATGTCGCGAGGAAGGAAAGGGCCAAACGGTGTCAACATTCAGAGCAAGAGATCAGCAAAGAGCCAGGATAAGGGAGGACATTTGGATAACTGAAACATTACAAGTTCACATGGTTTGTAATTGACATGTTGAGTAATAACCCAGGAAGTTTCCATAGCCCAAACACTGGTTTGTTAGGAAGTGGCACACATGAAGTCTCACATAGGGTTGCCGATTCCGGGTTGGAAAACTGGGGGTGGAGCCAGTGGAGGGTGGGGTTTGGAGAGCAGAGGGACCTCAGTGGGTATAATGACAAAGAGTCCACACTCCAAAGCAGTCACTTTTTCTATAGGAACTGACCTCTGGAGTCTGAAGATCAGTTGTAATATTGGGAGATCTCCAAGACCCACCTAGAGATTGGCAACTGTATTCACAAGTTCTATCTACCTACCCCCCCCACACACACACACACACACGAGTACCCTATTGCAATTGTTTTAGTGCACTGGCATAAATCTGTGCCTGGTTTGTACCAGTGTTCCTAGCAACTGTTCCCCTTCATCCTCTTCTGTTCTAGGGAAAAATAGTATCTAAGAAGCCCTTGAGACCCATCAAAATCTTTGCTTGTTGTTCCCTTCCCATACTGGTTTTTATAGCATCTCACCTATGCTTACAGTAGATTTGAACCTAAACATTCCGTTTTATATTTGGCTCCATGCTGAGCTTCAGCATTTGGCTCTAGACTTGTAGGACAGGAGCCCCCAACCAATGCTCCCTCTAAGCTGTGGAGTCCTGTGAGCAAAAATTCTACTTTGTGAGCTACCGGGCATTAAAGTGGTGAGCGAGTGAATTGGCTGCTGCATCAATTAGTTTGCTCTGGAGCCATCCTTCCTGAGCAAAGACAAAAATGTGTGAGCCGGAGGCTAAAAAACTGTGAGCTAGCTCACACTAACTCTGCTTAGAGGGAACCCTGCCCCCAACCCTTTTGAGGCTGCGGGCACCTTTGGACTTCTGACACAGCGTGGTAGGTGCAGCCCCAAAATGACTGCCACCGTGTGGCTACTGCAGGAGGAGACGGAGCCAGCCAGACAAAGGTTCCCCTAGCTTACCTTCATTCACACAATGAAGATCCTTCTGTTGCAGTGACGGTTGTTGCCAAAGCAGCATTTCTAAAATGTGCACAGCCAATCAAACCTTCAGTGGCCTATCGGAAGCTATGCTGGGCAAAAGTTCCCCCGGCCCCTCCCACTTTCTAAAAAACACTTGGCGGCAATGTTCCCTCTAAGCTGTGGAATCTTGTGAGCAAAAATTCTACTTTGTGAGCTACTGGCATTAAAGTTGTGAGCGAGCCATTTGGCTACTGCATAAATCAGTTTCCTCTGGAGCCCCCCTTCCTGAGTGAAGGCAAAAATGTATGAGCTGGAGGCTAAAAAACTGTGAGCTAGCTCACACTAACTCAGCTTAGAGGGAACACTGCTTGGTGGGCACTATGGTGGGGACACCCACTGTAGGTTTTAGGCTTCTGCCATGTAATATTGAAAGGTGTGTCGTATGAATTGGTTGTGTGCATCAGCCCTCAGGGGGAACCAGCTCTGTGCAACATACCGCCTTCTAGGGCTGGCTGTACCATCAGGCAAAGTGCTTTGCAAAGTAGGTAGATACGGGGTCCCAATAAAGTTAGGAAATGATCTATTATTTAATTAAAGATTATAGTTTCCCTGTGTTTGTATTTTTGTGGGGAGCATGAAATACTTTTTGGCCAACTCTGTTATGGTCCGGTGAAATTTTATTTGCTGAAAACTAGATAGAGTTGTCGGGTCCACACCTTGTTCCAGCCGGGGGGTGGGGGGGTCCTTTCTTCTTCTTCCTGGTTACCATAAAGTTTTTTCTCGGATGCTAGAGCATGCCCTCCAGGTGGGTGACATCATCACGCCGGGCACATCTGCATGGATGGGGCTGCTCAGTGGTAGTGGGGCTCCCCCCGGCCAGCTGAGTGGTGGCACATTGGGCCCCCCAAAAGCGGGTAACGCCCCTGCTTCCATCGGGGTGGTGGTGGCAACTCTAAAATTAGAGGTTGTTCCTCAGTAAATACTATTTATCAAAATCATTGTAGCTTTTGACTATTCCAGTTTAAGCTGACCTGGAATGGCAGATAAATGCTATAAAATCCAAATAGATAAATACAAAGTCGATCTTGAAATATTCCCCTATTCATTTGTTACCTTTCTGCTTTATCATAGATTAATCGTGAGAGCTGGTGCCCCGTTGAACCTTCCCCGGAGCCTTCACTGCTGGAACCAAAATGTGCTTGTAATTCAGCGGGTAAGTGCAACATTTTGCGATTCCCTTTCTTGGGTCAGTTTTATCCTGGTTATGCAAATCCTTTTGAGCTAGTAGCAGCTCTTTACCAGGCAGACACGATGCTTAGGTTAGTTTCCAGGCTCAGTTCGAAATGTTGGCTTGAGCCGTTGTTGAGATTTGGGTGCAGAACGTTTTAGGGAGGACCTCCTTCTCAATTTTAATTTTATTTATTTGTTTAAGGATATATGGAATCCCAGCTGTCTTTCTTGAACAGCAAGCACAGGGCAGCAGACAAAAGGGGGGGGGATCCCTGAGTCATTGCAGGCCTGAGCGAAGGGCCATTGTCTTTCCTGCAGCTTAGCTGCTGCTGGAGCCCGGAAGGGAAAAGGCGAGGGTGGCCCATGAGAAGGGGGGCCAGCGGGCACCCGAAGCAGCGTGTGTCGTTCTCTCCTCCATTTTATCCTCCTGACAACCCTGTGAGGTGGGTTAGGCTAAGAGTGTGTGACTGGCCCAAGGACACACAGCATGCTTCCGTGGAAGAATGGGGATTCGAACCTTGATCTCCCAGATCCTAGTCCGACACTGTAACCACTACACGGCACTGGCTGTCACTTCATACTCTGGCAGCGGTGGTCAATTTTGAAGAGACTCAGCATATTCTACCATCTCATTCTGCTGCGTGCCTCAGCCAGACCTAAGAAAATCATTCACTGGAGCCCGGATTTGTGGGCCTGTTCTAAACTCGCCTGACACCCATTTTTGGCACCCGCCTCCCAGAAGGACATGCATCATAATTTCTCCCTTTAGAAAGGAACCGAATCCTGCTCCATGCATGCAGTTGAATGAGGTTTTAAAATTCAGAAGTTTCTGCTGAAAGGCAGTGGCTCCTCAAGATCTGAGGGTCTGCGCTAACTGAGACGCTTTTCACATGGAGATACCCCAGCGGGGCCCTTATAATGCTATCATTCCCGGTTTCATAGAAGGTGGGACTGCCAAAGGACTTTCTGTCACTGTTGTTAGAAGCATGGCGTTTCACTTTCAGCAACTGTTTCCCTTTAGAAAGGAACCGAATCCTGCTCTGTACATGCAGTTGAATGAGGTATTAAAATTCAGACGTTTCTGCTGACAGGCAGTGGCTCCTCAATTTCTGAGGGTCTGCGCTAACCGAGACGCTTTCCACATGGAGATACCCCAGCGGGGCCCTTATAATGCTATCATTCCCGGTTTCATAGAAGGTGGGACTGCCAAAGGACTTTCTGTCACTGTTGTTAGAAGCATGGCGTTTCACTTTCAGCAAGTGTTCACAAAGGAATCTGGGGCTAAAGGTTATCTTGGCAGGTCTGTGTAGTGAATTGAATGCCAGGAGGGGCCGTGGCTCAGTGGCTGAGCATCTTATTGGCACGCAGAAGGTCCCAGGTTCAATCCCTGGCACCTCCAGTTAAAAGGGACCAGGTAGGAAGTGATTCTGAGACCCTGGAGGACAGCTGAGACCCCGGAGAGCAGACAACACTGGTCTTTGTAGGCCGAGGGCCGAACACAGGGGACGGCAGCTTTGTGCATTCATAGAACTGGGAAGAAGCACCACATTCTTCTGTGAATTAATGTTTCACCTTGATTTCTGGCTAAATCATTACGTAACGTTTCTTGTTGCTTTCAGATCCCAGCACTTATTAAACGTTAAATGCCTTGGGTTGATGTCATTAGCTAGGTGACTGGCAGTGTTGTGGGTTTCCCAGAAAATTACTGCTTAGCGGTTTCCTGATACTCTAAATGGATTGTGATCTGATTTGGCATTTTACTTAATTTATACCCCCCCAGTCTCCACAATGGGGACCCCAAAGAACTTAACATTGTTCTGTTCTCCTCTGTTTTATCCTCTCAACAACACTGTGAGGTAGGTTAGGCAGAGAATGTGTGACTGGACTAAAGCCACCTAGCAGTCCTTCCATGGCAGAGTGGGGATTCAATTCTGGGAACCCCAGATTCAAGTCTGCTACTCTTCCCACTCCACCAATTTACATATTTAGAAGAGAAGAAGAGATTGGGTTTATGCCCCGCCCTTCACTACCCAAAGGTGTCTCAGAGTGGTTTACAAACTCCTTTCCCTTCCCCTCCCCACAACAGACACCCTGTGAGGTAGGTGGGGTTGAGAGAGCTCTGACAGAAACTGCTCTTTTTTCAAGGACAGCTCTTATCAGAACTACGGCTTGCCCAAGGTCATCCAGCCAGGTGCAAGTGGAGGAGTGGGGAATCAAACCCGGTTCTCCCAGATTAGAGTCCACGCACTTAACCACGACACCAAACTGGCTCTCCTCCATTTAGTAATCAAAGCTTTAAAAAACACTCCCTGTGCTAATTTTATGTGCCATATAAATATTTCAGGTTTTCTTTACAGCCACAATTGAAATATTTGATTTTTTTTTGGGGGGGGGGTATACAATGGAGCAAAATTTTATGTGGTTTGAATGTTATGGCCAAAGAAAATTGTTTGACTTGTGACGCTTGTAAACGTTTAAAGACGATGTATAATAGTGTAGTCTTCCTTTATTGTTTAAATTTTACTAAAAAAACAGTGAAGGCAGTTGGCATGCTAAGTTCAGCTCGCACAGTATACTGTGGACGATGGCTTACTGTGGCTAGTTTGTCTCCTTCAACAGCGTGAAACTCTTTCTCTGAGGGGCAGCCTCTCAGATGAGATGAGGCCTATGCAGATTGCTTTCACTGGGCCCCCAACCCAAGCACTGGAGCAGCTAATTCTAGAAAGCCAGAGTGGTGTAGTGGTCAGCGTGTCAGACTAGGATCTGGGGGACCCAGGTTCAAATCCCCATTCTGCCGTGGAAGCTTGCTGGGTGACCTTGGGCCAGTCACTGTCTTTCAGACCTCCCTCCCTCCCTCATAGGGTTGCCAGGTGAGGCCAACATCCAGGTGGGGAACTTACCAGGAGGCTCCAGGACAGGGAACTCTGAAGTACCTAAGTTTTGGGTGAGCTGCCATTTCATTTAAAGGAAACTCATTCCTTTTACATGCTTTTCCTCCATTGGAAATAATGGTCCAATCTTTTTGAAAATTTAGGAGGGGGGGGTTGAGGAGAGGCACCAGCAGCTATGCTGAAAATTTGGTATCTCTAACAAAAAAAAACCCCAGCCTTCCCCGGAGCCCCAGATACCCATGGATCAATTCTCCATTATACCGTATGGGGAACAGAGGGGACAGGCTCCATAGGGTATAAGGGGGCCCCCAGCAGCTATTCCCCCCCCCCCCGGCTTTCTGATAGCCCTGAAGCAGGGGGCGGGGCTCCAAACAGGGAATCCCCTGCCCCCAACTTGGGGTTGGCAACCCTACTCCTTCACAGAATGGTGGTTGTAAGGATAGAATGGAGGAGAGGAGCACAATGTAAGCCTCTTAGGGGCTCCACTGGGGAGAAAGGTGCGGTGAAAGCATAAAAATAAGCACCTTCTTCCCGGGGCAAGCTGCTTGTGCCTGTTAGGACTTAATTCTCATAACATGCACAGCATACAAACAGTTAGGCTAGACTCTTTTTCCCTCAGGTGCTAGTACTGATAGAGCGGTTTTATATGAGGGAGTGTTAAAAATGTAATCATCACTCCCCCACACACACTGAATTGGTACTGCCCATTCTACCACCAAGATTAAGAACATAAGAACATAAGAGATGCCAATGTTGGATCAGGCCAAAGGCCCATCCAGTCCAACACTCAGTGCCATCAGGAGGTCCACCAGTGGGGCCAGGACACTAGGAGCCCTCCCACTGTTGACCCTCCCAAGCACCAAAATGACAGAGCATCACTTGCCCCAGAGTCCCTATCTATACCTTGTGGCTAATAGCCACTGATGGACCTCTGCTCCATATGCTTATCTAATTCCCTTTTGAAGCCGTCCATGCTTGTAGCTGCCACCACTTCCTGTGGCAGTGAATTCCAAGTGTTAATCACTCTTTGGGTGAAGAAGGACGTCCT